AGTAGTAGTAGTAGTAGTAGTAGTAGTAGTAGTAGTAGTAGTAGTAGTAGTAGTAGTAGTAGTAGTAGTAGTAGTAGTAGTAGTAGTAGTAGTAGTAGTAGTAGTAGTAGTAGTAGTAGTAGTAGTAGTAGTAGTAGTAGTAGTAGTAGTAGTAGTAGTAGTAGTAGTAGTAGTAGTAGTAGTAGTAGTAGTAGTAGTAGTAGTAGTAGTAGTAGTAGTAGTAGTAGTAGTAGTAGTAGTAGTAGTAGTAGTAGTAGTAGTAGTAGTAGTAGTAGTAGTAGTAGTAGTAGTAGTAGTAGTAGTAGTAGTAGTAGTAGTAGTAGTAGTAGTAGTAGTAGTAGTAGTAGTAGTAGTAGTAGTAGTAGTAGTAGTAGTAGTAGTAGTAGTAGTAGTAGTAGTAGTAGTAGTAGTAGTAGTAGTAGTAGTAGTAGTAGTAGTAGTAGTAGTAGTAGTAGTAGTAGTAGTAATAGTAGTAGTAGTAGTCGTCGTAGTAGTAGTCGTCGTAGTAGTAGTCGTAGTGGTAGCCTCGGGCGCACGTGTGCCCACGAGGGGTTGCGCCATTGTCAGCTCGAGCACGGAGGCCGCTCTGCGCACGTCGAGCCAAGCTGGGCGTTTCTGCAGCTTGTCAGGTTGAGAGCATCCTCCGGGAGAACGCGGCGGCGAGGCTGCAGCTGACAGAGGACACGTGGGGCGGTCGGCCAGGAGGAAGTAGTCGCAGAGAGTCAGGATGAGGAGGGGCACGAGAAGAAGGAGGGAGGATGCTGAGGACCACTATTGTCACTGCGGAGGAAGCGGAGGAAGATTCTCAAGGAGGAACAGGAGGAATCTTAACACGAAGACAAGGAAGATGTGCCACTAGTGGTACGAGGAAGATGCTGAGGACTGAGGGTGACAGGGGGACAGAGGAGCCGGAGGAGGTGGTGGAGGAGGAAGAAAGGGGGGTGGATCAGGAAGAGTTTACAGGATAAGGAGGAGGCGGAGGAGGAGGAGGAGGAGGAATGAGGTGACCATGAGGAGGAGGAGGAGGAGGAGGAGGAGGAGGAGGAGGAGGAAGAGGAGGACGAGGACGAGGAGGAGGAGGAATAAGACGACGACTAGTTATATTACTGCTGGTGCTGAAGGTATGACATCGAGCATGACCACTATCACACTACTACACTACTACTGCCACTTCGACTACGAGTGCGACGACGACGACGACTACTACTACCACGACTACCACTACTAGCACTTCTACGTCTATCCTGACTACTACCACTGCCGCTACTTCTACGGCTACTTCTACGGCTACTACTATAACTACTCCTACTCCTACTCGTACTCTTACCCGTGCTCCTACTCCAACTCCTACTACTACTGCTACCACTGCTGGTACTACTACTACTACAACTACTACTACTACTACTACTACTACTACTATTACTACTACTACTACTACTACGACTCCTACTGCTACTGCTACTCCTACTCTTGGATTACTCCTATTACTACTACTACTACTACTACCACCACTACTGCTACTACTACGACTATTATTATTACTACTACTACGACTACTACGACTACCACTACTACTACTACTACTACTACTACTACTACTACTACTACTACTACTACTACTGCTACTGCTACTACTACTACTACTTCTACTACTACTAGCTGTACTACTACTACTCGTACTACTACTGCTACCACTACTATTATTATTACTACTACTACTTCTACTATTACGGCTACTACTACTATTATGACAACTGCTATGACTACTGCGACTACTACTGCTATCTACACCACTGGTACTGCTACTTCTACCACCACCACTATTACTACTACTACTACTACTACTACTACTACTACTTCTACTGTTACTACTACTACTACCACTACTACCACTACTACTACTACTACTACTACTACTACTGCTACTCGTACTACTGCTGGTACTACTTCTTTGACTACTACGACTACTACGACGACTACTACTCCTAGCGCTGCTACTACTCCTACTACTACGACTACCACTACTACTACTACTACTACTACTACTACTACTACTGCTGCTACTACTACTACTACTACCACTACTACTGCTACGGCTAGTACTTCTACTACTACTACTACTACCACTATTTCTACTACTACTTTTCCTTGTACTACTACAACTACTACCACAACCACTACTACTACTACTTCCACTAGTAGTAGTAGTAGTAGTAGTAGTAGTAGTACTGCTGCTACTACTACTACTACTACTACTACTACTACTACGACTATTACTACTACGACGATTACTACTGCTACTACTCGTGCTACTACTACTACTACTACTACTACTACTACTACTACTACTACAGCTACTCTCTACAGCTTCTACCACTACTACTGTTACTACTGCTACTACTATTACTACTGCTGCTACTACTACTACTATTAGTAGTACTGCGTGCTGCTACTACTACAACTGTTTTTTTACACCTACTGCGACTACTATCATAACTACTACTGTGGCGACTGCTACTACTACCGTCACCACTAATCTTCTCATTATTACTATTGATATTTCTGTTCCTACTCAGTATTACTACGACTACTACTAGGACTACTACAGGTTTTACCAAGGCAGCAGCAACCACAACTACACGTGCAATTGCAACTACACGTGCTGCTGCTGGTACGATTACTACTATTGCGACTTCGACGTGACCTATTACTACTCTTGCTCCTCGCGCTCCTTCTGCTACTACTATTCACTTCGACTTGCTATTGTTTCGGGGGAGGGCAAGGCGGTGGTCTCTCCACCCCTCTCCATTGTCCACTGTCCTCCCCATCCTCTTCTTATCCCTCCTCGTCCTTCATACTCATCCTCCCATGTCCTTCTTTGTCCCTCTTTATTATGATCCTGCCTCCTCCAATTTCTGGCTCCACGGGCACCACCCTTTCACGAACATTGCATGGTAGCGAGTGTCGAGAGCACACGTATGACGTACTCCCTCAGTAATGAAGGTCGCTGCCTTTTGCACGGTGCAACTTATTTTAGCATTGTGCTCTTTTCCGTCAGGGCCTTTCCGTTCCGTTCTTGCTCCTTTTTATTTTCGATCTCCCCACCCGTCTTATCCAAATCATTCTTCTCCCTATCCCGTTTTTTCCTCCTCCTCCTCCTCGTCCTTTCCCGCCTCCTCAAGTCCGCCAAGCAAAGTCGCACCGAGGCGGGCCAAGAAGTTCCAACATCTGACGGCCCAGCGCTACCCCAACCTGCAGTGGCGCGCCGTCCGAGCAAAGGGCGAGATTCACTGCAACGCTGTGCCAATCGTGCGCCTCTTAATCCGAGGCCAAGCCGACGCGACCATCCTCGAGTGGAACGAGAAGGCCTTCGACCACGGGCCGTTCCAACAGATTGACAAAACCGCCATCCTGGACGCCTTCCAAGCTCTCTTCGTGGATACTGGGGCGGCAAAGTGGCGTTCCTAGCCACCCATGGGCCCCGTGACGCATGAATGAAACGACCGGCCAGACCACGTTTTTCACGTGGAACGCGAAAACCCTTCATGTGCTGCTCATGCAAGGGGTGCCGCACGAAGCAGGCCCACCACTTTTTTTGACGGCCGAGAGATGCTCGTGGCCATCATGCATGCCGTCTCGCGGAACACAGTTGTCATCATGAGCGTCCTCACCCACGAAATCGACGCAGCCGCCAGGGCCAAAGTCCAGCGCGCATGGCATCTACACTGCACATGGGCCGAGGCGAACCACCAGTATCGCACGTTCATCGCAATGGGTGACTTCAGCACGGCCAGTCGCCCGCCCATCAGCCTCATGTAGCCGCAACCGCAGCACACCCGCCTCGTGTTGGACCACAGTGCCCGCTAGCGGCAGCCGTTCTGGAAGGCCCACTTCGATACCCTGCTGGAGATCGAGGCTGACCTGCCCGCCCGCTTCAACAAGTCCGACTAGACTGCCTCGGCCATAGATTTCGTCTTAATCAGCCTGCCGTCGCATGTCGCCACCGCGCACGACGCAGCTATCCTCTCGGACAGCCGCCTCAGTGACCACGCCGTCATCACTTTCTCCCTCGGCACCAAGCCCAGGATGCCGATTGACGAACAGGCGATCTCGCCGGCCATCTTCCGCGACCCCAGCTGCGAAAAGTAACTCCAACAGCTCGAAAACACCACGCAGACCGCGCACGTCCCGATCGAATGTCCATGGGGAGCGCGTAAGAAACAAATGGTGGAAGCTGCTTGTTTCGTTCGCGACGACAGGGTACGCTGCCCCGCTGGAGACGCCAAGCACCATGGCTATTTGGACGGCCGAGTACTCACGGCCCATTCGATATCCCGAGCCATTTGGTGCCAAGGTGTCCATCTTGCGCGTCGCCATCAAGCTGCTGCCGAACTGGGAACCTAGTGCCTGGATCTTACCGATGGCTTCGCAACGCTCGCCAGCGACGCAGACTTCGCCGACGTCTGGGCTGCCCTGAACACCGGTTCGAGGCCAGGCAACGCTCTCTGGCACGGCGAGCGGCCCTCTCTCTGGAGAACTTCCGCAAGGTCCGCAGGTCCTCTCAGCGAGGGGACCTCCTGCGGGCCCGCTGGAAGCGCCGGCTCGCCCTCCGGGGCATCGAGGCCCGAGGCCCTGTGGGCCCCCCAGGGACAGCCAGAGAGAGTCGCTCGAGGGTGGGCGCGCTCCCCGCCACCTGTCCTCGCCGCGAAGCAGGTCGACGAGCCCAGGGTTCGGCGGTGCATCGGGCAGCGCGCACCGGTCGGAGAGACCCTCGACGTCGGCGCGCCCAACAAGACGCAGATCCGCGGCCGCGCGACACTCTGCTCCTGGCCCCGGCTGTCTGTCCCACGCGGCGTGGGTCGCGCGCGGGACCTCCCTGGGCATCTTCGAGGGCCTCGCGTTCTCCCTGTGTTCTGGCCACCCCGTCCCGCGGGGCCTGAACGACTCCGACTTCGCCATCGCGACGGAGGGCGGCAACCTCGTCGGCGGGCTCGCCGCAGACCGCGCCCCTGAAGACACGCGCCCGCTGTCCCCCAAGAACGTCGACGTCGCCGCCGTCGCTGGAGCTGCGAAGCATGCCCTGAAGACCGCTGTAACAGAGCGGGCACCTATTGCGCAACAAGGCTTCGTGGTCGGCCGCAACCTTTCCAGACGCGTCGCGCGTCTCGGCGCCGAAATGCGTCGCGCTGGCCTGCGCCTTGGCGCCCCCGTCGGCCTGCGAAACTGGCCCTGCGCCGCCCCTCCCCCCCCCCTCCCCCACCCCCTCATCTGCGACAGTCGTCGCGCGCAGGGATGCCCCGCCAGCGACAGCGCGTCGGCCGTCGCGATGGGCCCGCTCATCCGCCGCGTCGCGACCTTCGCCGAGAAGGGGGGCGGCTCCCCGAACTGCGACCCAGGGCTACCTCGAAGGCTGCGCTGGCGACCTGGGCCCAGGCGTCTCGGCCATCGACATGCTGCGCAGGGCTGCTGATCCTCTCGTCTTTCGTACTTGCCGAGGAGCCCGTGCCCCCCCCCCCCCCCAACGAGCTGCGCAGACGTGTAGGGGTCCCGCTTCGGGGAGCTGCGCCCCCTGCCACCGTCGCCCGCGCCCAGGCCCTCCTGGCCGAAATCTCGCCGTCCTGGGGTGGCCTCTCGGTTGCGGGGTGAGCCGAATACCTCGGGGCCCTCCTGGGGCCCTCGGCCTCGAACGCCTGCCAATGGCATGGCCCTGGGCAGATCTGTCGGCAGCGCGGCAACCGCTTGAACCTGGTGCGAGGCGGCAGTGGCGCCGCAGTGCGTCTTTACTACGCGTCTACGCTCCCTGCGCTTAGCTGCGTGTCGCATTTCTGCCATAGCCGAAGAATGCTCTGCACCGTGGGCACTACATGTTCAACGCAATGCGCAGCCTTTCCCCGGGCGCGCTTCGCATCGATCTGATAGCGATGGCGGATTGGAGTCCGCCGCCTGTGCCATGCTCGATGCAAGGCAACGCCGCTGCTTCTGCAATTCGCCCAGCCCCCCTGGCCCCGCGCCGAGACTGGGCGCCATTCTTGTGCAGGCTCCGCGAGAGGGCGCGGGGAGACAGCGCAGCCCCTGGCTTCCTGCGCTGGCTTGCTGGCCAATGGTCTCCCACTATTGGGCGGGGCCGCGCGCGAATGTCCAGTGATTGGGCGACCTGCTGGCGAGTTGCTCCCAGCCAACCCGCGGCGCTGGCCTCCGCGAGCCGGGCGGTGCGCGGTGAAATCTGCGCGGCTACAACGGCCGACCCACCGCGACTGCCCAAGGCGCGGCGCGTGGCAGCAGCGGAGCTTCGACGTGCCGCGCTCATCACCGCGTTTGTTGGCGCGCTGGGCGAACGCTTCGAATCCTGGGGCAATCGGTCAGCTGCCCGCGCCCGAACAGCCTTCCGCCCGCTGGAACTCTCCGGCCTCGCAACTACAACCCGACCGGCCGAGCTGGCGTTGGGCCGCTTTGAAAACCCTGGGTGGCGGCTGGACCACGACAGGTCGCATGCGCGTCCCCGCGCCGCGCTCCTGCGTCTGCGGATGCGGCCGGCGGTCAGATTCACCGACCGCCCTGTTTGACTTTCCGGGCTCGCCCCCAAGTCACTGAGGCTTTCCCTTCCCCTCTTCCTCTTCTACCATGCCCTTTCTCTGTCTCCATCGTTCTCTTTCCCCATCCCCAACCTCCTGCTCTTCCTCCCCATCATCCCCCCTCCCCCTCCCCCTCCCCCTCCTCCGCCTCCTCCATTCCTTTCCCTTCTAAGTATTCTTCAATGTCGCAGCCCCTGGCCAGTCGGAAAGGGCGGCTGGCGGTTTCGCTGGAGACTTCTTTACCGTTGATGAACCTTAAGTTTAAACATTGGCAACCGTTTCACGTATGGAGGGCGGGTCGCTTCCACCATGTGGCTCTCGCTTCAGCGCCGCGGGCGTCTGTTTCAAACATTTGCAAGAGTTTCACGGCTGGAGAACACGTTTTTTCAATATGCGGCTCTCGCCTCAGCGCCGCGCACGTTTGTTTCACACGCTGGGAATCATTTCGCGGATTGAGGGCAGGTCGGATTCAAATTGTGGCTCTCGCGTTAGCGCCGTGCATATTCATGTCAAAGGTTTGCCCGCGTTTTGCGTATTGAGGGCTGCTCCTTTTCAACATTTGGCGTCATACACTGCAAGCGTTGTGCGGATTGAGGGTAGCTCTTTTTCAAAATGTGGCTCTCGCCCCAGCGCCGCGCACATTCGTTTCAAGCATTTTTCAAACAGTTTCATTGGTTCTTATGGTTACGTTCCATCACGTGTGTTTTGGAAGAACTCCATACTGTCTGGGCGCGGGAGTTACGTATATTCGCGGTGTTGAAGTCCCAGGAATGGCGTTTCGGCTCGATTCAGGAACAGTCCGGCTTACTCGTGGCGTTGAAATCCTGAGAGTGTTTTTTTGGCACGCTCCAGGATTTTCACACTGTTGTCCCCCAGAGGGGCGCTAACCCCCAGTGACAATGAATCCTTGTACTCAGGGGCCTATGGAGAGGGCACTTGAGGGGATGGTGTACTCCGACTTCGTTGATCAGTCTTGGGTTTACGTTGGTCCTCCTCCTCCTCCTCCTCCTCCGCGCCTCCTCGTCCCACCCCCCTCCTCCCCCCCTCCCTTCCCCCCCTCCCTGCCGAGAGGGGACGGCCCCTCCCTTTGGGCGTTCGCGGCGGGCGCGTTTCCCCCCCGCCGCGCCAGTACGTTCTGGAGGAGGGCGGCAGGCACCAAGCCGAGTCCGCGCAGGCTTCCTCCGGGCGCGGGCCCCCCTCCCCCATCCGTGTCCCGAGGAGGAGGAGGAGGAGGAGGAGGAGGAGGAGGAGGAGGAGGAGGAGGAGGAGGAGGAGGAGGAGGAGGAGGACGAGGAGGAGGAGGAGGAGGAGGAGGAGGAGGAGGAGGAGGAGGAGGAGGAGGAGGAGGAGGAGGGGAGCGGGAGCGGGAGTGGGAGGGTGTGGGGAAGGGGGAGAAGGAGAGGGAGGGGGCGGGGAAGGGGCAGGGGGAGGGCGAGCGGGAGGAGGGGGCTGAAGTCTGAAGGCGTCAATGCGGAAGACCCCGCTGCGCCTCATGGGCGGCTCGCCTTCCGCACGGGAGGGAAACCAAACTGCTTGGCCCCTCGGGCCATCCGGGCCTCGGGGTTGAGCCCCCAGCTCTCTCCGATCCGAGTCCGACCGCGGCGACGCTGGCAAACAACGGCAGGCAGAAGCATGCAGGGTCTCCTCACGAAGAGAGGCGAAAAGGCGCGGCCATTGCCGCGGCCGCCAGCGGCCTCGGACCTGCAAGCCGGCCCGTCCATGGTAAGCGTCGCGCCCTCTACGGTCCAATTGACAGTCCCGGGACTGCGATGCTCGCCAGGCTTCCGAATCAGTTCAGGCCAGCACCTCCTCTAACATCCGCGCCAGTGCCACTCCGTTGAGCTCGGGGGCCTCGCCGAACACGCCGGCGAACCCGTGCACGGCCTCAAGGGCAACGTCCCTCTCAGGCCCCCGCACCCCATTCAAGCCGAGCTCTCGCATGAGCACTGCTGCGCGCTGCTCGTCTCTCGACGCTGTGTTCTTGACGCCGTTCTGCATCTCGGCACCCCGACTGTGCCGTAACGCAGGCTTGCGTCCTCCTTCAGGTCCTTCACCAGGTGAGCGATGCAAAACAACGGGGTCGCCTGCGCCGACATTGGCGCGTAAGCTGCTCGCGTCAGGTCGCGTGTGAGCGCCCTCATCTCCACTGCAGCACGCCGCGCCGGCGGCCCGCGTAAGCAACCGCGTAAGGTCGCCACGTCATCTCGAGTACGACCCGCTTTTGATGGTCGCTCAGGTAGTTTTTCTCCTCTGAGGCAGGCTGCACGTCTTGGCCCTTGCTGCTCTTGCCCCTGACTGGGACGGGGGGGGAGCTCGGTGTGGGACCTGGCCAGCCCGTCGCCATCCAAGTCCTCGGCCCAGAGCGCGTGGCGCCAGCGGTCGAAGAAGAAGACACGGCACAAACATAAACTTTTTGGCGATTCGCGTGGATTTCTTGGACCCGCGCTGCATCCCCCTCCCAGGCGCGCGGAGCGCGCCTGGGGCGGCGCCGGAGGCGCCGCGGGGGGGGGGGGGGGGGCAGCGCGCATCCAACAAATTTGCGCGGCGCGCCGAAAGTGTATGTTCATGCCGTTTTTTCTTTTTCCAAGCGAGCAGCGCTGTTCACCACCCACCGAACCACCCCAACCCAACCCGAAGGCCTCAATTCGACCTCCATTTCCAGTGGGGGGGGGGTCGGGAAACATGGAGAAATCACGCATGGAACCCGTACCCCCCCCCAACCCGAAATCCAGGTCTTCGGGTTGGGTTGGGGTGGTCTGGTGGGCAGTCAGCTGTCCACCCCACCTCCGTCAGGGAAGACGGCCTCCAGCGCGTGCCGGCACGCCTCCGCCGCCTCCGCGTGCCCCTATCCGCGTCGAGTGGTTCCCCTCCACTGGCGGTCTTCCCCCCGCCAACATCGCAGAGCGGATCTCGTTCGGACAACGATAGGATGGGCCCGGAGTGTCCTGGAACATTTCGTTCATTTCGAGGGGAATTTCGTGCGGATTGTTTTTGGCCAGGAATGAAGACCCCAAATAATCCACGCGAACTTCACTTCGTTTCTCGGTCGCCGCTTCGGGCACAAATCCACGCAGAAATCCATGCAGGAATCCGCTCCATCACGTCTGCAAGGCTGGTGCAACGACACATCGCTCTCCCACCGTTCGCCCTTCGCGGCCTTCCTCCGATCTTCTCCGCCCTCTTCTGGTCGTGCTCGGCCAGCCGCTCGGGCGTGATGAATCGCTGCCTCGTCGGCCGTTCCCTGGCCCAGGGCAGCCGGGGCTTCTCCTCGTCCAGATGTGTGTTCTTCACGGGGGTCGCTTCCGCCCACCGCTTCGGCCCTCTCATCGGAGGCGTCGTAGAGGCGCAGCCTCTGGAGCCGCCCGCGCCAGAAGACGACGAAGACGTCCTCGTCGCACTTGCAGCCCGCGGGGATCCAGCTTCCGGCCCCGCTTGAGGTCGGAGGGAGACCTGCTCGTCTGCTCTTCCTCCCCCCTCTCGTGCTCCTCGTCCGCCTTCACATCGTCTTCTTCCGGGGACTCCGCCTGCTCGTTCACTGCGTCCAACGCCTCCACCGCCCTTGTGCTGGCCTGCTTGGTGCAAGGGCAGCGCAGCCGTGCAGGCCTGATCCGCCTGCGCGAGCACCCTGTCCAGGACTGGCTTGAGCTGCTGCCGCAGGTCGTCCAGCACGCTGGCCATGACTAAGCGGAGGAGCTGCTCCTTCGCGTTCTCGTCGTGGCTGTCCAGGGGCGGCGCCTGGTCGCCCCGACCTGCCTCGCGCCCATGCCGAGCAGCTGCGCTTGTGCCCCATGGATCCGCCTGCGTTGTCGCTTCCAAGTTCGACCAGCAGATCAATCTGTGGCCCTGGCGCCCGCGCCGCTTCGAAGGAGGAGGAGGAAGAGGAGGAGAAGGAGGAGAAGGAGGAGGAGGAGGACGAAAAGGAGGAGGAGGAGGAGGAGGAGAAGGAGGAGGAGGAGGACGAGGAGGAGGAGGAGGAGGAGGAGGAGGAGCAGCGGCAGCAGCAGCAGCAGCAGTTGCAGCAGCAGCAACAGCAACGTTGCCTCGCCTTCTCGGGGGAGTGCTTGGAGCAGCTGTAACCCATCTTCGCTGCCCCCGAAGGGCCACATCGCGCATCATCCGCAGGCCTCCAGGGCCTTGCAGCAGTGCAGGGCGGCGGTTCTTCGGGGGATACGCTTGAGGCTTTGGAGGTCTTTTTCGGGCTCCCGTACCGTCGACGGACGATCCGTGATGAAAAACGAGTCCAGGGGAAGGTATCGAGAAGTCCAGGGGACCATGTCTCGAAAGAGCCAGGGCTTTGGCTTGCCCAGGACTTTGTGTCAGTGGTCGGTGACTGGCGGCATGGCTCTCGTCGCGCTTCGCTTGTGGTGTTATTTGTTGTGCCGCCCTGGCAAGTCGGAAGGCAGACTTGACGAGAAACCTCCCGCGCGATTTTGTCGATCCCGCCCCTGCCATTTCTTCCCGCCCCTCCCGCCCCGTGCGTTGCTGCTCTTTGGGCCCAGGGCGCGGCAGGCGCTTGACGACGCCGCCAAGGAGGCGACGAAACAGAAGGTCAAGATGAGTGCCCTCGAGAGGCAGCTCGAGCAGAGCCGGGCCGAGCTGGACAGGGTGGGTGGGTTGGGCGGGAGGGTGCCGTGCGTGTGTGGGTGGCGAGGAGAATTGAAGATCATGTCGAGGGGGATGATGATGCTGCTGCTGATGATGCTGATGATGCTGATGATGATGGTGATGATGCTGATGATGATGATGCTGCTGCTGCTGATGATGATGATGACGATGACGATGATGATGATGATGATGATGATGATGATGATGATGATGATGATGATGATGATGATGATGATGATGATGATGATGATGATGATGATGGTGATGGTAATAGTGATGATGTTGATTCAGATGGTGAAGTATCCTTTTGCCTCGCTTTACCCTCCCAATGAGAGATGACAGGCGGCCGCGCCCTCGCAAGAGGGAGGCCCCGCCTCTACCCCCTGCTCCCGCTGCTGCTGCTGCTGCTGCCGCCTCCAGTGCGCTACGCTATCGGCGGGCTTTCCGCTGGAGGCATTCTGTGGACCCAGGAGGGGCAACACAGTGCTCTTCCGCTTCCCAGTCCGTGGATGCTTCCCTCCCTCAGTAACATCCGGTTCCAGCGGTGCTACTGGACATCCAGCGAAAAGCCCCCATGTTGATTCCAAGACAAGCAACGCACAGCCCTCGAAGTATTGGCCCCGCACAACGAACATCCGAGGAAGGAGGCCTCCTCACCAGCCAAGAACAGATACATTCAGAGCCTGTGTCCCCTAGGATCTCCAACTAAACTGGACAATGGACTGTTGTGGCCTGGGCAGGCCAGTCTGCTCTTGTGCGCCTTCGTGCTGTCTATGCAATCCCACGCCAGACAGCGGGTACACACCCATTGAGTCTGCATCCACAGCCAGGCGTGGGCTAGAAACTCCTGTCCCTCTCCATCCCTGGTTGGGGGACGACGGCGACCACGAGGCTTCGACTGAGGAGGAGGAGCAGGAAAAGGCGGAGGAGGAGGAGGAGGAGGAGGAGGAGGAGGAGGAGGAGGAGGAGGAGGAGGAGGACGAGTTGGGGATGGGCGGCTGCTGGGAAAGCGGCGGCGTCTCCCTCGACATGCTGCGCCACGATGGCTCGAGCAGCCTGCACACCTCTCCTGATCTTGATCGTGGGCCTCGAACTCGAAAGATGTCCAGGGGGGGAGAAGGGGGAAGAGGCGGAAGATGGGAAGGGGTTTAGACAGGGAAGGCGGTGGAGGAGGAGGAGGAGGAGGAAGAGGAGGAAGAGGAGGAGGAGGGGGAGGAGGGGGAGGAGGAGGACGAGGAGGAGGGGGAGGAGGGGGAGGAGGAGGACGAGGAGGAGGAGGAGGAGGCGGAGCAGGAGGAGGAGGAGGAGGAGGAGGAGGAGGAGGAGGGGGAGGAGGAGGAGGAGGAGGAGGAAGGAGGAGGAGGAGGAGGAGGAGGAGGAGGAGGAGGAGGGGAAGGAGGAGGAGGAGAGGAGGAGGGAGGAGGAGGAGGGAGGAGGAGGAGGAGGAGGAGGCGGAGGCGGAGGCGGAGGCGGAGGGAGGCGAAGGAGGAGGAGGAGGCGGAGGAGGAGGAGGAGGAGGACGAGGAGGGGGAGGAGGAGGAGGAGGAGGAGGAGGAGGAGGAGGAGGAGGAGGAGGAGGAGGAGGAGAAAGAGGAGCAGGAGAAGGAGGGCAACCATATTAAATCAACCATGCGTACTGTATAATCGATGCTGCAATGCAGCACCCTCGCATCGCAATTCCCCTCCTCATATGTCCCCGTACAGATCCTCGAACGACCAGCGCAATCGGGTCTGCCATGTTGGCGAGGCTTCCACTTTGACACGGAACTAACTTGCATCTTCTGGCGCGTAGCCAGGGGCGCGGAACAGGATCAAACAGTTCAACGAGGTGTCCGGCGATACCCCCTTCGAAGAAGGACAGCTTCCCATCCGCGCAGCTGTTGCCCAATGTTACCCTTGTTCTCGTGAACTTCGGGAGCATCTCCGGCGACCGACCTATTCATTTTGACAAGAAGCCGCCACGGATCCGTGCCAGCCGTACGCGAATTGGATCTTCGGGTCCTTCAGCCGAGCGGAGTCTCAGGCGAGAGTTCCAGTTTGAAGCAGAGCCGCAGGCCTAGAGGTTGACACCAACACCGAATTCGGCGGTGTGCCTCCACCGAGGGCAGAAGCTCCCGCTCTCGGTGATGGTGGTCCTATTCTGGCTTCCAGGGTGGCCGAGCTATTACCACCAACGCCGAAATCTAGGATCATCCTCCCCCTGTGGAGGCAACTCCCTGTGTTGGTGTTGGTGCTAATTTCCAGGCCTCCAGCAGAGCAGTCCCCCTATCCGGGCAGACGCTGCGGCCCGGAAAAAACAGGCGCGCGTGCGCGCGGCGCTGCGGCGACGGCCCCACTGTGCGAGGACGTGCCGCCTTCGAGCGACGCCCGGGCAAACTTTTGAGGCGCATGCGCGCGGCGCGCAGGTGAGAGCCGCATTTCGACGAGGACCCCGCTTCCATGCATGAGATATTGGAAACTTGAGCATATACACTACCAGTGGCGGGCTGCTCCTCAATTCCAGGGCTTCGTGGGGGTCGAGGACGACGCTGGGGTGGTGTGGTGTATACTTTTTCCCCCCATGTCCCGGGAAAGCAACGAAACCTGTATACACCAGGGTCCCGTATACACCAGGGTCCGCTGTCCAGTGCAGATTCCAATGCAGGGCCGGAAGAAGCGTGGGTGTATAGAGTTCGATTCCCTAAGATAGTTACATGTTCGAAGTCAGGTGTGCGCGGCGCCACGGCGAGACCAACAGTTTGAAACCGAGCCCGCTCCATCCGTGCTGGCGCAAGCTTTCAAGAGGCGCTTGCGGCGCGTTGCGGCAAGGAACGCATTTTGGAGAGGAGCCCCCCCATCAGTGAAGCGGCTGCGAGCTTTCAAGACGAGTGTGCGCGGCGCTCAGGCGAGAGCTCTCCATCTTGGAAGCGATTGCAAACTTTTATATCGAACGACCTGTGCTCTATCCGTGAAGCTGCTGCAAACTTTGAAGACGAATGTGCCCGTCGCTAAGCCGAGAGCCATATTTTGACCCCCCTCCATCCGTGAAGCTGCTGCGAACTGTTAAAGCGAATGCACGCGGCGCCACTGCGAGAACCACATTTTGTTTTCCCCCTCCATGAGCGAAGCTGTGGCGGACTTTTCAAACGAATGTGCGCGGCGACAATGCGAGAGCCTCATGTTCGTATAAACGTCCCCCTTTTCCCATCAGTGAAACTACTGCGATTTTTGAAGACAGATGTACGCGGTGCTCAGGCGAAAACAACATTTTGGCAATGATCCCCCCTCCATCCGCGAAACTTATGCAGTCTTTCAAGACACATGTGCGTTGCGCTAGGACCAGAGCCACATTTTGAAAAGGAGCCGCCCTCCATCCTTGAAGCCGTTGCAAACTTTTAAACATAATGTGCGCGGCGCTGATGCGACAACCCCATTTTGAAAACGATCTGCGCTCCATCCGTGAAGCTGTCGCCAAGGCGAGAGCCACATTTCGACCCCCCTCCATCCGTGAAGCTGTTGCGATTTCTGAAGACGAATGTGCGCGGCGCCAAGGCGATAACCACATTTTGTTTTCCCCCTTCATCCTTGAAGCCGTTGCAATTTGTGCGGCTCAGGCCCATTGAAAGTGTTGCAGCCTTTAAGACTAGATGTACGCGGCGCTAAGACGAGAGGCGCATTTAGGAAAGGAACCGCCTTCCATCCTTGAATGTGTGGCAAACTTCTTCAGCATCATAAGCGGTGAGCAGGTCTCAGGCGAAACGCCCGGCCCGCCCTGCCAACACGTCTTGGGGTTTGCGACAGGGAGGAGTTATTCTCCAGGGTGGTAGGGTTTGAAGAGGAGGATGAGGAACAGGAGATGGAGGAGTGGCAGGAGAAGGAGGATGATGATGATGAGGAGGAGGACGTGCGCCCCCAGGAGGAGGAGGAGGAGGAGGAGGAGGAGGGGGAGGAGGAGGAGCAGGAAGAGGAAGAGGTGGAGGAGGAGGAGGAGGAGGAGGAGGAGGAGGAGGAAGAGAGGACCACTCATGCCCGTTTACCAGCGCTCCCAGGCCTTCTCCACTGCCCGCCCTCCCCTTCCGCCGCCTGCGCCCCCCTGCCGAGGAGACCCTGCGCAATCAGGGCAAGCGCACCGTGGACAGGCCCGCAGCGAAATGCGGCCAATATCAGCAGTTGCGAGCTCACAGATGTCCGACATATTTGTTTCAACCGGCCCATATCCATTGTCGATTTCGGCCCTGGGGTGCCGTCTGCGGGCCCCGGGACCATCAGAAGTGGATCCAGGACCGACAGCCACTCTGGGGACGGGGTCAGGACCTCTGGGGCCGCGCATCGGAAACATCCCCTCGTCGGATGTCCTGCTATACCACCATGCACAGGCCGTGGCCAGGTACGGTGGTGGTGTATTGGTGCTTTATGCGTGTAGTATCGGCACGAGGCTCATGAGGGGGGGCAGTTTAGGATGAGGATGGGGTGAGTGAGGATGCGGAGCGCACAGAGCTCAATGACCTCGCAAGCCCCTCTCCCCGCACATCTGGTATAACACTTCGTGTTGACCACGTCTCGAGCAGTCCACGTCTAGCAGCAGCTGCAGCACGGGCTTGCGCTGCTAGCGTGGCCGTTCCTGTGGAAGCCGACGCACAGTCATCGGGCGCCAGTGGTATGGTTTCAGACGGGCCCAGATGCAGGCAAGGCCCCGCGCTTGGACGCCCCAGCACAACCACGCTTCCATGTGCGTGCGGGCAAGTGCTGTGGAGTTTGCGAGCGAGAGGGGCGGAGGAGGAGGAGGAGGAGGAGGAGGAGGAGGAGGAGGAGGAGGAGGAGGAGGAGGAGGACGAGGAGGAGGAGGAGGGATATGATATACTATCGAGTTTTTTGTCAATGGTCGGCCCTTCCTGGGCCTCGGGGGTCTCAGGGGGCCTTCGGGAACCTCCAGGGACCCACTGGCCCGGCCATGAAATGCTTGGTGACTGCGTGCCAGTATCGTTCTGGTTTCATGCCGATGGGCTGCGATATCGTCTTGCCGTCAGCTGTCATATGTCTGTGTCCACGAGGCTAGTGAGTGCGAGGCACACCAGAAACGACACGCCGATTGAGAAGCTGATGCAACGGGTATCTTATAGGTGTCGTGCATGCGATGAGCATCCCATGAACGAGCCGCAGGCAGCACTGGCAAACGTAGAGGGGCATACCTGAGCTGTAGTAGCATCTGAATCAAGAATGGCACTCGCCTCCACAGCATCCTCTTCCTCCTCCACCTGATCTGCTGCAGCATCGGTCCTCAAGCTGGATTGTTTTTGGGGGAAAGCACGGGTCCGAGGGTCTACCCGTCGAGTCCGCGACGCCCCCGCTGGGGGTGAATTGGCTGAAAGCATCCTTCAAGTTCCGAAGACAAAACCGTCCTTCAAGTTCCGGGCTCCCGCCGACCATTCAGGATTTTGACCTGCAGCGGGTCGTGGTCGAATGTGGCTGCCTGTGGACGCGGTTGGGTCCGAAACGCCAGGCTCGAACTGGTCCTGCTTGGTCCCCTTCGGCCTGGGATTGTGACGAAGCGTCGTCTGGAGCAGTCGCGCGGCTCGCCTCTCCGCACCCCCCGCGCTCGTGCCCCGCTCGTGGGCGGCATGCCGTGGAGGCAGCACCGTGCTTTGTGCCAGCCTGGCAAGGCATGCTACCAGACATACACATGGTTAATTTCTAATTCTTCGAAAGTTCTTTGTTTTTTGGGGGCCAAGATCCTTTCATTTCTAATTGTTCTGTCCTGGGTCTCTTCCTGGCCACGAGGGGGTCAGGAACGATTAGAAACGAACACAATTAGAAATGATCACGATAAGAAATGATCGACGTGTACATGCTTGCCAGTACCCTCACCCCGACTCGTCCGCCCTGCGCTCCTTCTCCTCTGCCGAGGGCTTCCGCGGAGACAGACAACATCCGGCAGAAGCTCGCGAACACGGAGGCGGAGAACGACCAGCTCTCGACCGAAGTCGCAAAGCTCAAGGGTCCCTCGGCTTCTTTCCCTTCGTTCCCGCGCGGCATCAGCGGCAGCAGCAGCAGGAGCTGCAACCATTGCCGCATTAGCAGCAGTAGCAATAGCAGCAGCACCAGCAGTAGCAAAAACAGCAGCAGCACCTGCAGTGCCAGCAGCAGCTGTAACAGTTGTAGCCCCAGCAGCTCATCAGCTGCGGCAATGCAAGTACCCGCGATAGTACCATCATCCCCAGTAGCAGTCGCAATCGCAGTGGCAGCATCTGTAGCCGCAGCATGAACGGCAACATCAGTAGGAACAGCAATGCCGGCAGTGCAGGCAGCAGGAGCAGCACCGGAAGCTCAAGAGCAAGAGCAGCAGTAAGCGGCAGCAGTTGCAGCAGCACTAGAAGCAGGAGCAGCAGCATCATCAGTTGCAGCAGCACCGCGAGCAGCAACTGTGGGAGCGTACGCAAACGCAAACTCGAGCGTTCAATGCGATCCCAGACATGACGATCCATTTTAATCAAGTGGCTTGCGACATTCAGCCGACCCCCAGAAGAGACAAAGAGTAATGCACGATCGCGGAAGTCGTTCGGAGCACTTCGGCCCCTGAGTGTCCTTGTGGGGAGCTATTGGGGGCATCCAGAAGGCTTCTGGAGGGCATCTTGGGGCTTCGGGGGGCTTCAGTGAGGCCTGTCAGGGGCTTCGTGGGACCTCGTGGGTGCGCCTCGGAGGCCTCTGGGGAGCTGTTGATGGCGTCTTGGGGGGAAAAGCTGCAACTGTGAAGTCGTATTCCCCTTCTTGGGTCCCTTTAGGGGTCCTCGTGGGCCGTTCAGGGGCCCTCGTGGGCTGTCTTGGGCAGTCTTGGGCGCATTCGGGGCCTTCTTGGGACGATCCTATGGGGTCATTGAGCCGTTGAAATCGTTGGGAAGATGAAAGACACGATTTCGCTAAACATGTATGTTTTCCGACGGGCCGACTTTGGCTTTTGGGGCCTTCTTGGCAGTCGTCTTGGTGCTTTCTTGGGCCGTCCTAGTCGCTTCGGGAACCGTCTGGAAGTATTTGACCACTCACCGAACCACCCCAACCCAACCCGAAGGCCTCAATTTGCCTTCCATTTCCAGTTGGGGGGGGGTCGGGGAACACTGAAAAAATACATGGAACCCGTACCCCCCCGACCCGAAATTCGGGTCCAATTCGGGTCTTCGGGTTGGGTTGGGGTCTTCTGGTAGGTAGTCAGCATTGGACTGTCGAGGGGTTACCCTGGGCCGTCTCGACGCTCTCTTGGAGACTGCCTTGGAGCTCTTTTGGGGCCCGTCCTGGGGCCGTCCGGCTCCGGAGGAAGTGCCGGGGAGCTCGTCGACCCCCCCTCCCCCCTCCCAGCCCCCCCACTCTAATGCGATTTTTAGCCCCAGGGGAGGGGGAACGGGGGAGGGGGACAGCCAATTATCTCATACAGTCGGCCCAGATTAGTAGGTCGACCCTGCCAAATCAAGGGTACCCTTGTGTCCTGTGTCTCGCGACCCATGCTTCCCACATTCCTGTGGCAATGTGGTCCTCGGAAGGGTCTTGCGCCCTCTCGCGTGTCCTGTCCAATCAAGGCCGACTGTACGCTTCTTCACCCCCGGCAAGCGGGGGTCGGTAGACTTTTTTAGTGAGAGTGCGCACATCTCAGTTCTTTCGACTCCTCGTGTGCGCGGTCGGCAGAGCTAACTCCAACAGGCGTGGTCGAAGGAGTCCATCACTAGACAGAGGCTGCCAAACATGGACTCGACACGCCCAATAACATGCCTCCTTTCTGTCTTCCCCCCCCAGCCCACGGGCAACACATCGGGCCCCTTTCCCTTCTCCCTGTTTTTCATCCTTCTCCCTCGTTTCCTCCTCGTCCGCCTCCGATCCTCCACTCCTGTTCGTCCTCTTCCTTCTCTTTTCATTCTTCTACGAGCGACGAGGTGGACAGGTGGGAAGCAACATGTATACCTACACGCACTTGGAAAGACCTGGCCTAACAATATGGTGTTCAAGTGATGTCGTCGCACGCGCTTTTTTATCTACGCATTTGCTTCGTTGGATGTTGAATTGAGGTTCGTCCGCTGCCCCAGTGTCCCCCCACAATAGGTTTTTTGCGGCTTTGGGGTCGTCGGGTTGGGGGACATCCGATGGCCCTCTATCAGTCTACCTTGGGCCAGCGCTGGGGTCCTTTTTCCCACCCCTCCTATGGTGAGGTATTTTTTTGAATAGAGCACTGCCTGCACGACCTTCTCCTGTGCCACCCCCTGCCTACCCCCCGTGCCTCTCTGCCTCCTGCTTCCTGTCCTCTCGCCCTCGCCCTGGGGCGGGGGGGTGCCACTCGCGCAGCCGTCGCCAATATCGTGGGCCCCTGGGGAGGTCGAGCGGAGTGGTGCCCGACGCACATCCAGACTGGGACCTCGCGGCTTCCCTGGGGAGCTGCGATGTGCGCACCTGTCCACACTCTACTCGGTCCCCTGGGTGGTCAAACGGAGCATTGCCCCACGCGAGTCCAAGCTGGCCCTCTCGGCTCTCCTGGAGGCCCTCCCCTGCGCAGTTGTCTCTACACAGCGTTCATGTCTAATTCTTCGAACCTTCTTTGTTTTTTGAGGGGCCAAGGCCCTTTCATTTCTAACTGCTCTGTCCTGGACCTCTTCCTGGCCACTAGGGGGCCAGGAACAAGTAGAAACGAGCACACTTAGAAATGAGCACGACCAGAAAGGAGCGACGTGTACTTTCGCGGGCTCGGATCGAGCGGAGCGGTGCCCTGCGCACGCCCAGACTATGCTGCTCCACGGGGGGGGGGGGGGGGGGCGCTGCGCCTGCGCAGCCGTCTCGCCGCGTCTCGTGGGCTCCCGGGGGGCCCAGTGGCCGGGGAGCCGTCCGCGCGCACCCCACACGGAGGGGCGGGGAGGCGGGGTGAACGCAGGGGGGGGGGAGGGGAGGAGAGGGGTGGGTGGATGGGGAGAGGGGGAAGAGTGGATGGGGAGAGGGGCGGGTGGATGGGGAGGGGGGAGGGGCACCATGCACGTCGTGCCTTCCCCGAGCAATGGTCGCCGAGCACTGGGAGAGCGCAGAATCCCAGCCCGCAGGTTTATACGGGGGGGGGGGGCGAGAAGGGGAGGGGCCCCCTTGTCCTCCTCCTCCTCCTCCTCCTCCTCCTCCTCCTCCTCCTCCTCCTCCTCCCCCTCTTCTCTCAGACGTCGTCCCCTGGACCTCTCCTGGACTGCGTTTCGATTCGGATTTCGAGGGGAAAGCAGCCGTGGCGAAAAGAGGCCTCTTGGAAACACACATCAAGCTCTTTTTGCAGGCATCCCCCCACACCCTGAACCTCAATTCTCGAGCCTCGAGCCCAGACGAATTGGGGTGGGGCAGGAGAGGGGCCGTGCCCCCCCCGCCGATTTTGTTCCCTTCAAACAATCATCAGCATTGGCACGTGAGCTTGGACATGCAACGGTATTGCAACTGTAACGGCATGGCTCTTCGAGGTCGGTGCTGCAAGCTTGACGTATGATCCTCAGCAGTGCAATGCCGGCTAGTACCAGTGAAGCGGCGCTGCAAGCTTGAAGTCCGATCTTCAGCGGTGCAGTGCCGGCCAGTACCAGGGGGCCGGTGCCAGCGTCACGGCTGCAGAGCGCGACGCCTCATGGCCCCCCGCAGCGGAGCTGAAGCTCGCGCACCAGGAGGCCGCGGGCGCGAAGCACAGCCTCAGCACCCTCCGGGCCGAGGACCCCAGACGCGGCGGCGTGAGCGGCAGTGCTCCCGGGGGGGATTTTCCGCGCGGTGTGGTGACCACAGCCGTGTGGTGAGCCCGTGGGGATTCGGGGTGGCCTCACGGTTGCGGGGCTCGGGACGTCGGCGGCACCACAACATACTAATACTGTGTGTGCGTCGCCCCCCCCCCCGGGCGACGACCACACACCGAGAAATCTTATAGTCTATGCGTCTCGGCTGGCGCTTTCTGGCTACACAGCTCGAGAACCGATCTACGACAAGATGGTTATGCAGTATGTTCGGGTGGGACGCACGCCTCCAAGGCGGACATCTATTACCAGTATGTCTATGCGCGTCCCATATTACAGGGGTGGATTGTCTGCTCTCTACTGAAAGAGTGGCGACGGGGTCCTTCGATTCTTCCTGTGCCCTTCCCACGCTCCTGTCCGCTCCCCTGCGGCCGTCCCCCCTGTGTCTGCCACGGAGGACAATTTTTTCTCCCAGGCCGCCCCACTCGGTGCATACTGCGGAGGACTCGACGAGACGAGGCGGTATGGGTGGCGATCGTGGCTCGAGGATCGAGGATTCGAGGATCGAGGGTCGAGGATTCGAGGCTTGAGGATCGAGGATTCGAGGATCGAGGCTCGAGGATCGAGGATCGAGGCTCGAGGACGTAGGACTCGTCTCGACTCGACGAGACGGGGTTGGGCCTCAGATGCGGCGCGAGAGCGCCTGGCTTGACCTGGCCGCTCTCCGCTCCCCGCTTCACCACCCTCGCCCCGCTCGCCCTTCCTCCTGCTCCCCGCCCCCCACCCCCCCGCCCTCCCCTCACTCCCGCGGCCGTGCTCTCCCTCTCTTTTGCTCTCTCTCCCTCCCTCTCTCTCTCTCTCTCTCTCTCTCCCCCCCCCGCCCCGTAACATCCCCTCTCCTCCCGCCCCCTCCTCCTCCCCCCTCCTCACCGCGCCCCGTGCCCCCGCCCCTCCCCGCTCCTCCTCTCCTCGGCGCAGGGGCGGGACGTGTCCAGGCATGTGGCCGGCCGATGCTCGCCGCCCATCGGATAGGGGGGGGGGGTAACAGCAGCCGTGGCGAGCCGGGCCCTTGGTGCGTGGGGCCCCGGCTGTGGCCCTGGAGCCTGCGGCCTTGGGACTCCTTGGACGGCGTGCCGCTCCGCCGCTTCGGGCCTGCCACGCTTCGGCGCGACGCGCGGTCCACTTCCCAGGCTCCAGGGCGTCGACGGCCCGAGCCTCTCCGAGCCTAGCCGCCCCTCGGAGCGGAGCGGCACGCTGGCCGCTCGCAGGCTGCCTCCGCTGGGTGCAGGCGTCCACGGCCTGGGCCAGGATGGTGTCCTGTGGGTGCTGCCCCCCGCTGCGCCGCCGGGTGCTGCTCTGGTCGTGTGCTTCCACGAGCAGTGCTTGGGCGGCGGCGAGAGCGCGGCCACGCGGGGAAGCCGTTCGCCGCGATGGCCTGCGGCGGCATCGACCTGGGCCCGAAGTGCTCTCGCCTTCCCCGTGCCGTGCTCGCGGCTCGCCCCGCCCAGGTCGAGGCTGCCGCTCCCCTGGGCGGCGTGCTGCCTCGTCGTCCGAGCAATGGCGAGCGCCGGCGAGGCGGCGATGGCTGCCCTGGCGGCGCTGACGTTCGTGCTCTGCCTGCGGCCGCCCGAGGCCCTGCAGCTGGCCGCCGACGGCCCGGTCAGACCCTCGGTGCTGCTCGGCGGGCCGCGGGGCAGCCCGGAGCTCGAGCCCGAAGCCGCGCGCGCGGGGAGAGTGGCCCGCAAGACGGGCGCGTGCGACGACTCGCTGCTGATCGGCAGTCCCGCTTTCCCGTGGCCCCCGAGGCTGCCGGAGAAGCTCCTCGGCGCCCGCTCGCCCAGACAGCCGCTCTTCGACGTGGCGTGCAACGTGTGGACTGCCAAGTTCCAAGCGGCAGCTCGGGCGGCAGGGGTCCAGAAGTTGAGGCCCAGCACTAATCGCCAGCTGCGCCAAGGCGGCGCAAGCCACGGGCTGCTGGTGAAGGCCTGCGTGTAGGACGAGGTGACAAAGCGTGCGAGGTGGGCCGCCGACCAGGCGGTCCGACGGCACGCCAAAGGAGGGCGGATCCAGGAGCAGTTGAATTCATCCCCTACGGCCGTGCAGAGTCTGGCCCGCCGGGCGCCGGCCAGATTTGGAAGTGTTTTTGCCCGACCTAGCTGCCTTCGTCAATACCAGCCGCCGCCAAGTGATGCTGGAAGTCTTCTCAGGCAGTGGCGATCTGCCTCGTACCTGGCGCCTCTCTTGCAGAGGCTCTACTGCGGCCTTCGCGCGTGATGTCGTTCACGACGCTGCCGCAGATATTCTCAGCCGACGGGTTCAGTGTCTCATTCGAGGCTGGGTTCGTGGTGAGTTGATTTCATCTGTCTGGATAGCAACTCCGTGCCAGTCGATGTCGAGAGCTCGTGACAGACCTGGTCGACCTCCGCCCTTACGATGCGCTGGGTTCCCCTTCGGCCTCCCAGACCGCAGTGCAGCCGACTCTTTGAAAATCAGTGGAGTCAACGCCTTGGCTCGTTTCAGCTTTGGCTTTTTGACCCTTTGCAGGATACTCCCGATTCCCGTGGTGATAGAGAAAAAGGCTACCTCCTGGCTTTGGTGTCTTCTGGAGGCCCTCGCGTCTGCTCGTCCTGAGAATGTCTGGGACATCGATGACGATTTCTTTGCATTCGGAAAGCCCTGGCGAAAACGGGCCGGGCTTCGGTTTTGCCATCTTGACCTCGGCCTCTTGCAGCGCGCTCGCTGCCCTGGCTGGGGGATTATAATTTTTCCACAGCGCCCCCACAGGGTGGTAGATGAAAAAAGGCCTCCATCAGGCGTTTGTGAACTCATGTCGCCGAGCCCTGCCCTAAATATATCCGTGTGCTAGTGGTGCAAGCATATGGACAAGCTTTTCAAAACCTAGCATGTAAAGCATTTGCTAGATATGTGGCCAACCAGCCAGAAGAGTGTTTCGCAAGTTTTATTGTTGTTCTCTATTCTGATATCGTGCTCGTTGTGGGGTCGCCGCGGCAAAGTCAGTCGAGTGGCATCTCAGCAGTTGGCTTCGGGCCAAAATCACGCAGATATGCTTGTGGTTTGCTCTGAAGAAAGAGAAGTATACGAGGACCGCCAAAGCCTAGATTGCTCTGGCCTGCCTGGTGTTTTCTGCGAGGGGTCGGATATGACAGGGCCGACGCAGCGCGATCTTTTCTGCTGCACGTGTGCTTTGGCCTCCCGCCTTCTGCCTTCCTCGTAGTCGCCCCTGGCCCTCTTAGCTGGAACGCTTAACACTTGACCGGTCTTGTGATTCCCCACATGCTTCGTCGTGGGGTTCTGGTTTTCTTCCCTGCCGCGCCGCACCCGCGTCTCACACACCTCCCGCCTCCTCACCCACACACTCGCACACAGCCGCACGCATGCACACATTCGCACATACAAGACGCATGTTCACTGCATCATACACCCAAGACGTCTGCACGACATACTGGGCAACACGTGAGATATGTCCCGATATGGCCGCACACGCATCATACACATACACACGGCAAGCCATGCGGCAGGCGAGCAGGCGTGGCACTTCCTCGACACCATAGGGGGTGCGCAGAGGGTGGTCCCTCAGCGGGGCCTCTATCCGTGACACGCTCGCAGGGCGTGGCAGGCGCGGCACTTTCTCGACACCGCTGGGGGGGCGCAAAGGGTGGTCCCTCAGCGGGGCCTCTATCCGTGACACGCTCGCAGGGCGTGGCAGGCGTGGCACTTCCTCGACACCATAGGGGGTGCGCAGGGGGTGGTCTCTCACCGCGGCCGCTATGCACGACAGTCGTCCAGGCACAGCAGGCGTGGCACTTTCTCGACACCACAGGGGGTGCGCAGGGGGTGGCCCCTGAGCGCGGCCGCTATCCGTGACACGCTCGCAGGGCGTGGCAGGCGCGGCACTTTCTCGACACCACTGGGGGGGCGCAGAGGGTGGTCCCTCAGCGGGGCCTCTATCCGTGACACGCTCGCAGGGCGTGGCAGGCGCGGCACATTCTCGACATCACATGGGGGTGCGCAGAGGGTGGTCCCTCAGTGCGGCCTCTATCCGTGACACGCTCGCAGAGCGTGGCAGGCGCGGCACTTTCTCGACACCACTGGGGGGGCGCAGAGGGTGGTCCCTCAGCGGGGCCTCTATCCGTGACACGCTCGCAGGGCGTGGCAGGCGCGGCACATTCTCGACACCACAGGGGGGTGCGCAGAGGGTGGTCCCTCAGTGCGGCCTCTATCCGTGACACGCTCGCAGATCGTGCCAGGAGTGGCACTTTCTCGACACCACAGGGGGGTGCGCAGAGGGTGGTCCCTCAGCGCGGCCTCTATCCGCGACACGCTCGCAGATCGTGGCAGGAGTGGCACTTGCTCGACACCACAGGGGGTGCGCAGAGGGTGGTGTCCTTCAGCGCGGCCTCTATCCGTGACACGCTCGCAGATCGTGGCAGGAGTGGCACTTTCTCGACACCACAGGGGGTGCGCTCTCTCTATCCGTGACAGGCGCGAGCAGGGTGGTCCCTCAGCGCGGCCTCTATCCGTGACACGCTCGCAGATCTTGGCAGGAGTGGCACTTTCTCGACACCACAGGGGGTGCGCAGAGGGTGGTCCCTCAGCGCGGCCTCTATCCGTGACACGCTCGCAGATCGTGTCAGGAGTGGCACTTTCTCGGCACCACAGGAGGTGCGCAGAGGGTGGTCCCTCAGCGCGGCCGCTATGCACGACGGTCGTCCAGGGAATAGCAGGCGTGGCACTTTCTCGACGTCATAGAGGGTGCGCAGGGGGTGGTCCCTCACCGCGGCTGCTATGCACGACGGTCGTCCAGGGCATAGCAGGCGCGGCATTTTCTCGACACCATAGGGGCTGCGCAGGGGGTGGTCCCTCACCGCGGCCGCTACGCACGACGGTCGTCCAGGGCATAGCAGGCGTGGCACTTTCTCGGCACCATAGAGGGTGCGCAGGGGGTGGTCCCTCACCGCGGCCGCTGGCTGGCTCGAATCTGTCCTCGATGGAGGATAGAAGGCTAGGAAGAGGGAGGAGGTTCAAGCAATATGGCGTTGGATGACACATAGGGGGACATTCGCGACGAGGGCTGAGAACGCAGAGTTGCGCATATATTATAAACTCAAACAAACACACAAGATTTAAGTTAAGTATGTGGGGTTCCTCGGTAGCGTAATCGTTGTGAGGTCTCAGCGACAACGTCATTCGAGCGACCTCACTGCAGTTGGTCTTGGACCCAAATCGAGCATGTATACTTCTGGTCTGTTCTGAAGACAGAAGGATATGTTAGGGCTGGCGCCCGACAGTCCGCAACACTAGACACGCGCACGCACGCGCGCGCACGCGCCGACGCAGACGCCGACATACACGCATGCGTACACACACGCACACCCGCACACACACACACACCCGCACACACAATAACACACACACATTACACAACACACAACACACAAACCACAGCACAGGACACAGGACACACAACGCACAACACACAACACACAACACACCACACGCACCACGCAACACACAAGACACAAGCCACAACACACAAGGCACCACACACAACACACAAGGCACACACAACACACAACACACAACTCACAACACACAACACAACACACACCACACAACACAACACACAACACTCACCGCACAATACACACCACACAACACACACCACACAGCATACAGCACACAACACACACACCACACAACACACAACACACACCGCACAACACACAACACACAACACACACCACACAAGACGCAGCCCACACCGCACAACGCACAACACACAACACACAACACACAACACACAACACAACACACAACACAACACACAACGCACAACACACGACACACCACACACTTTACAATACATAACATAATTTTTATACTTCGCAGAGTACGACACACAACACACAACGCACGCACAACACACACACACCACACAAACCACACGCAACACACAACACAGACAACCCACACGACACCTAACACATAGCGCATATTTCACAACACGCAAGACACAACACACAACACACAACACATAGCACACAGCACACGCTACACAACACTGGATCCATAACTAACACCACACATAACACACACACACACACACCGCACAACACACAACACACAACACACAACACGCACCACACACACACGCACAAACGCACACGCACATACGCACACACGCACATACGTATACACCCACACACGCATGCACGCACACGCACGCACACGCGCACACATATATAGACACATACACGCATACAGTCTCTTACACTTACACATATCCACACACATGCATGTGATCACAGACGCGCAGACACACAGAAAGACAGACAGACAGACAGACACACAGACACACAGAGACAGACAGAAAGACAGACAGACAGAGAGACAGGCAGACCTGTATATATACATATATAGACACATCTAAACAGATAAACCATATTCAGTCATGGCCCCAATCGGATGGCCAGAACGAAGGGAGGACAGTGATAATGTGGTCGACGTGTGCAGGCAACATGGCAGGCGGGCAGGCAGGCAGGAGGGAAGGTGACGTCGATCATGGGACAGATGTGTCAGAGAGGCGGCGACGCAGTTTCAGGGGGAAGGCAGATAGAATTGGGAGCATTCGCCGAAACTGCGCCGCAGGAGAAGGACCTTCAGCAGAAGATCGAGCAACTGGATTTGGAGAAAAAGGCCAGCGGGAACGGTCGCCGTATCCAGCAGCCGCTGCTTCTCCGGCCTCGAGACTCGCCTGTCGTCGCCGCCGCCCTCGCCTAGCGCCGTCCTTGGGGTGCTGATGTGAACCCTTATGGTAAGATTCACTTCCGCCCCGGCACCTGATCCTTGGACGTCCCCACAGTTCCCCGGACGTCCCCAGGGGCGCTCAGAGGCCCGAAAGAAGCAGAGAGGCATTCAAAAACTGACCAAACACGTGCACGCGCCCCTCCCTGATCCTCGAGGGTCGAGGCCAAGACTTGCGGTCAGGAGCGTTTGCTTCGCGTGTCGCGCCGCCAGTTCTGGCCAACCGCGCTTCGGCGCGGCACGGTCAGCACGTCCCAGCCCCCAAGCTTCAACGTTCCGAGCTTTTCCCAGCCTCCTGTCCCGCGGAGCGGAGCGACACCCTGTCAGCTTGCAGGGCATAGCGTGCCACAGGGGCCGCGGCCGCCACACGCTGAAACGAGTTCCTGACCGTAGGACGCCCAACGGGCGACGAGATCCATACAGATCCACCGCTCCTCGCATTTCTGGGCCCGGGATCGGTGCACATGCCTCCCCGGCCAAGCCAGGGGGGGTACACACCGCTCGTGGGCCCAGGATGGACCTGGCCAGCGGCAGTGGATGTGTATAGATCTCGTCGCCCTGATCCATATCGTCCGTACACACATCGCGCTGGTGGGTCCGATGGCTCCGCCCTCGTGGAGGGCGCCGGGGAGGGGGCTGGCGCGGCCCTTTGGGGCGGCCGTGCCGCCTTCTCCCATGCTGCAGCAGAGCCGACGTGCGGCTTAGGATGAGGATGATGCTGCTGATGATGGTGATGATGATGATGCTGATGATGAGGATGATGCTGCTGATGATGATGATGCTGATGATGATGCTGAGGATGATGCTGATGATGATGCTGATGATGATGATTATGCTGAGGATGATGCTGATGATGATGCTGCTGATGATGATGATGACGAGGATTTGAGCAGCGCGGACCAGATACGACCTCGGATTTGGCCAGCACCGAAGAACACTAAACATCAACATAAGCAAATCAACTAAACATGAAATGCATTCCTCCGCAGTGTGTCCGGGTATTTTTTGGAAATTGCGATCCGTGTGACTGTTGGTAATTTTTTAACCTTCCGGTATTTTCCTGTATTTTCGGAACATGTGTGCTTTTTGTCTCTGGTATTTGCCGGTATGTTCGGAAATTACAATCCTCGTGACTGTTGGCAGTTTTTTTAGTTCCTGGTATTTTCCGCGCGATTATCTTTTTATTGTTATTGGTATTTTGATCTCTCGAATGGTCCAACAAGATGTAGTGGTCCGCGCACCTCAAATGATCATGATGTCGCTGATGCGGCTACGGATGATGATGATGCTGCTGACGATGATGCTGACGATGATGGTGATGATGATGGTAATGATTATGACGATCATGATGCTGATGCTGACGATGACCAAGACGATGACGACGACGATCATGATGCGGCTGCTGATGATGCTGGTGACGGTAGTGATGATGATGCTGATGCTGATTCTGATAATGCTGATTCTGATGATAATGATGATGATGATGATTCTGATGATGATGATGCTAAGTATGATGATGGCGACGAGGATGTTGCTGCTGATCATGATTCTGATGATCATGCTGTTGATGCTGATGATGATGCCGATGATGATAATGCGGAGTATGATGATGGTGACCATAATGATGTTCCTGCTGCTGATGATGATGTTGATGATGAGGATGATGACGATGACGACTACGATGGTAATGATGCTGATGTCGCTGGCGATGATGATGATGACAGTGATGATGATGATGATGATGATGATGATGATGATGATGATGGTGATGATCATGCTGATGATTATGCTGCTGATGATGCTGTTGATGACGATGACGATGATGATGATGATGATGATGATGATGATGACGATGATGATCATGCTGCTGCTGCTGCAAATGATGATGATGAGGTGGAGGAGGAGGAGAAGGAGGAGGAGACTATCTAGAACGATGATGTTGAGGAGGAGGAGGGGACGGACGAGGAGGGGGAGGAGGAGCATGAAGTGGAAGAGGATGGATATTGGCGGATGGAGGCCGGAAGAGAGAGGGAGGGAGGAGAATGATGAGGTTGAGGATTGTGCTGCTGCTGCTAATGCTGATGTTGATGATGATGATGATGATGATGATGATGATGATGATGATGGTGACGGTAATGATGATGATAACGGTGATTGTGGTGGTGTTGATTATGATGCGGATGGTGCTGATGACGCTGATGCTGATGTTGATAATGCTGATGATGCTGCTTATGACTATGCTGCTGTTGCTGATGGCGATTCTGATGCTCAGTGTGTTGCCGGTGTTGTTAATGATGATAACGTCGACGACGGTGCTTGTGATGATGATGATGCTGATTATCATGATGCTGCTTATGCTGATGTTGATGATGATGGTGACGCTTATGATGATGATGATGATGATGATGATGATGATGATGATGATGATGATGATGATGATGATGATGATGCTGATGATGATGATGATGATGATGATGATGACGACTACGATTGTGATGATGCTGATGCTGCTGGCGATGATCAGGATGCTGCTGATGTCGATGCTGCTGCTGCTGCTGATGAATACGTGGCCCACGAGGATGATGATGCTAGTGATGGTGATGTTGCTGATGCTGATAGTGATGCTGATGCTGATGACAGCCGTGATGATGCTGCCGATGCTGCTGCTGTTGTTGATGATGATGATCCTGATGATGCTGCTGCTGCTGCTGCTGATGATGATGATGATGATGATGATGATGTTGGTGATGATGTACATGCTCATGATGATGCTGATCAGTAGGCAGATGCTGATGATGAATCTGATTATGAGGCTGATGATGCTGATGATTATCAGGATGATGAATCATATGATGATGCTGAAGATGATGATGGTGAATATGATGATGATGGTGGGGGTGATGCTGATGCTGATGATGATGTTGGTTGTGGTGGTGTTGACAATGCTGATGATGCTTCTGCTGATGATGCTGTTGTCAATGACGCCGATGCTGCTGCTCCTGATGGTGGTGCTGATGATGATGCTTAGGATTATGAAGATACTGATGATGCTGCTGCTGATGATAATGCTGATGATCCTGATGCTGAGTACGATGATGATCACGATGATGACCATGCTGATGGTGGTGGTGATGATGATGATCATCATCAGAATTATCATCATTCATCAGGATGATGATGCTGATGATGCGGAGGCGGTTGATGATGCTGATGGGGATGCTGCTGCTGATGATGCTGATGCAGACGATGAGGATGCTGCTGATGCTGATGATATTGAGTATGATGCTGCTGATGATGCTGCTGATGATGATGCTGATGATGATGATGCTGATGTTAATTATGCGGACGATGCTGATGATGATGCTGATGCTGATGCGGATGATGATGCTTATATATGCTGCTGCTGATGATGCACGCTGATGACGATGATGATGGTGATGATGGTGCTGATGCGGGTGATTATGATGGTGATGATGATGATGATGATGATGATGATGATGATGATGATGACGATGATGACGATGATGGTGGTGATGATGATGCTGGTGCTGCTGCGGCTGACGATACTGATGATGATGCTGATGATGATAATGCTGCTAATGCTGATGTTGATGCTGATGATGCTGATGATGGTGAGGATGCTGATTGTGATGATGATGCTGATGCTGAGGAGGAGTAGGAGGAGGAGGAGGAAAAGGAGGAGGAGGAGGAGGAGGAGGAGGAGGAGGAGGATGGGGAGAAGGAAGAGGAGGCGGAGGAGGCGAGTAAGGAGGAAGAGGAGGAGGAGGAGGAGGAGGAGGAGGAGGAGTTGCAGGATGAAGGGGATGATGATGATGATTACGCTGATGATGATGGTGATGATGATGAGGATGATGCTGATGATGATGCTGATGCTGATGCTGATGATGATATTGATGATGATGATGATGATGATGATGATGATGATAATGATGCTGATGATGATGATGATGATGATGCTGATGATGATGATGATGATGCTGATGCTGATGATGATGATGATGATGCTGCTGCTGCTGATGATGATGATGATGATGATGATGATGATGATGATGATGATGATGATGATGATGATGATGATGATGATGATGCTACTGATGCTGCTGCTGCTGATGATGATGAGGAGGAGGAGGAGGCGGAAGATAAGGAGAAGGAGGAGGAGGAGGAAGACCAGGAGGACCAGGAGGGGCAAGATAATGATGTTGAGGAGGAGGAGGAGGGAAAGTGAACAGGCAGGAGGACTGGAGCTTGGTGGAGGGATGGGGTAAGGAGGGAGGGATGATAATGCTGACGATGCGGAAGAGGATAAGGCTAAATTTGAGGATGCGGGTGATGCCGATGTGGAGGATGATGAGGAGGCGGTGGAGGAGGATCAGGAGGAGGAGGAGGAGGAGGAGGAGGGCAGGGCCGACGTCGAGGACGGGGCCCCGCATGCGCGCGCGCAGGAGCTGAGCTCGGTGGCCGACGGCCTGCGGGAAGAGGCTGACCACCTGCGCGCTGAGCTGGCGGCCAGCAGAGAGGCCCTCCAGTCATCAGGTGGAGAGGATCCAGGAGGAGGCGGCAGGATGATGAGGAGGAGGAGGATGCCCCATGAGAAGGAGGAGGAGGAAGAGGCTTGATGGGGACGATGAGAGCAGGCTCGATAATGATAATGTTGATGCTGGTGATAATGACAATGTTGATGCTGCTGCTGCTGATGATACTGCTGCTGATGATGGTGATGATGATGCTGTTGATGACGCTGAGGATGGCGCCTCTTTGCTGTTGTTGATGATGATGGTTGTGATGACGAGGATGATGATTATGATGATGATGGTGATGGTGGTGATAATACTGCTGATGGTAAAGTATTGGAATGATGCTGCTGATGATGCGGATGATGATGATGATACTGCTGCTGAAGATGATGATGATGATGATGATGATGATGATGATGATGATGATGATGATGATGATGATGATGATGATGATGATGATGATAGGTAAGAGGACGAGGAGGGAGAGGGCGAGCAGAGTAAACGCAGGTCGGACGATGTATCAACGATGCTGCAGTACACCCTCCCGTCCCAGGCCTTCGCTTCGTTGGTCCTCCACAATCATGTTTTCACCGTGCGAGCCGTCCCCCTTGAAAGACGAGTGCACCGTGCCGCAGTTCAGGCGGGACCTCCACCTTGTAAGAAAGTAGCCTCCATTTTTCGAGCTTGAAGGGCTGCGACAAAGTGTTATAGTTTCAGGAAGTGGCCAGCTACAGCCCCGCTTTGAAATGGTACCGTGCTCCGTGTGTAACTCTGACGCAGGCTTAGATGTCTGGTAATAGGAGGTAGCGAAGTCTCGAACGAGAGCCATTCCGAGCAAGAGCTGCCCTCCATCTGTGCAACGGTTGTTTTTTCAGATGATTTTGTGTGGCGTGAAGGCGAAAGCCCCATTTTGAAATCACCTCGCCCTTCATCCGCGTAGCTGTTTGATTTTCTAAGACGCAAGTGTGCGGTGACGAGGCAAGTCGCTTTTTTGAGAATCACCCGCCCTCCACCCGTGTAACCGGTGTTCTTTTGAGGCGAGAGTGCGCGGCGCCATCACGAGAGGTCCATTTTGAAGGCGCCCTCCCCTCCATCTGTGCACTGTTGGCAATTATCAAGCGTCAACATCATAGATGGTGAGGGCGTCTCAGGCGAAACGGCCAGCTTGCCCAAGCGACATGTCTGGTGGTGCGACGAGGATGAGTTATTCGTGGTCCATAATGACGGGTGATGGTGGAAGGCGAGGAGGCGGAGGAGCAGGAGGCTCGAGGAGGAGAAGGAGGATGAGGAGGAGGGGAAGGGGGAGGGAGGGAGATGGAGGAGGAGGAGGAGGAGGAGGAGGAGGAGGAGGAGGAGGAGCAGGATGATGATGAGGAGGAGGAGGAGCAGGTGGATGAGGAGGAGGATCGAGGTTTTCCGACGTTTCGGAGGCTTTGATCGGCTCTGGAGGAGTCCAGGGGCCTCTGGGGAGCTTTTTGTAGGCCTCCGGGAACGTTCTGAGACAATTGGAGAGCGTCCGAGACCCTGGCCTTTGGCGTTCCCCTTCCTTTTCTGTTTCAAGTTCCTGCGTCGTTTTCTTCTGTTTCGGCTGAGGGGGAAGGCGTTTCCAGTCCCTGAGACCATCAGAAATCGACCAGGGATGCGGAGCAGCCCAGGGGAAGAAGTCGCCAGCCCTGGGGCCCACGGATTGACACATTCAGTCCTACAGAGATATGAGTGTACCGGTGGGCTCCGTGACCGCCGTGTCGATGTCGTCTTCCAGTCCCCCCCCCCATGCTGGGCTCCATGCTATGGAGGCCCTGGAGCCCATTGCCTCCGGCATCGTCGACGCACGTCAGATCTGGGAGATCATCGGAGTTGGAATGGCTCTGTCCTTAGCTGCCTACAAGATGTGCGTGTCACCAGTGATGTCCTTTTGGCGCAATTGGACGAGGTCCCTGACACTCGGGAGGCCAACGAAACGAGCGTTGTGCCTTAGCCCGGCTTCTGCCCAGACCCCGAGGATGGCTACCTCCTGATGTCCTCCGCGGCCTCGAACAGCTCCACTGCTCCGCTGGCGTCCCAGATTTTCGCGCGCTCGCCGACGCAGCCCAAAGTCGAGCTTTTTGTCGGGAGGTCCTGGGCGGAGGTGGGCTCTGCGTGGCAGCCAGAGCTCGTGCGCTTCGCCGACTTCGGTGGGAGAACGACTTCCCAGATTGGCGCGTAGCCCCTTGGCAGCTCTGGTGGGTCTCGATTTTTTGTTCTCGTTGGAGCGCGCGGACGAGCGCGCCCAGCTCGCGGCGTCTGGCCCGATCCGCGAGTCCACTGTCGCGCGACAACAGTGGCAACGCGTGTGCTACAACCACCTCGTCCCCGACCACACCGAGGCACCTCTTCGTCATCTTCACCGTCGCCTTGAACGCTGGGCCATTGCTCCCTTTCCTTGGTCGACAGGTCGGTCGCGCCGTGGAGGTATTGCAGGAGCTCTGGCGGACGAGTGCTCGACGCATTCTGGCCGCACTGCTCCGCACGATGTGCAACGGCTGGGTCACTGCACGGCGGATGCAGGAATCGCGGCCTTCTAGTTTGCGGTGCCGGAGGGGCCACGACAGCATCGAGCACTACGCGCACATTCACGCTTACCAAGCGTTCATGAACAGGATGTTGCGGCTCCCTGACATCGCTCCACCTGACAGGCTGCAGCAAATGCTAGGGCTTGGAGCGTCGACGGCCGCGACCGCACAGTTCGCGCCATCGTGCTCTACGCATTGTGCAGCAAGCGTTGCATGTTGAGGCACGGCCACCTCCCTCCAGTTCGGATGGTTGATTTGCTCCTACAGCGAGCGCGTGAAGGCGTCCGCGGGCACGTGGGTGCCATGCGAATGCTCACGGCCGCTTTGGCTGGCTTCCTCTAGGCCGATCTTTTCTTCCTCTTCTCCGCCGCCGCCGCTGCTGCCGCTGTTGGCTTGCAAGTTCGAGTCCGCTTTGCTGGCGGTTTTCAACAGCTCGCGTTTGAGCACCTCTGTGTCGGTGTTCGATGGCTGGGGCCCGAACCGTTGTGGCAAGCCCGCTGCTTCGTGGGCGTTGCCTTGTTTGCCTTGCCCTGTGTTCTTCTCCGCTCGTGCTCTCTTCTTCCCCCGCCTTCGCTGCAGTGCACGATCGGGTCAACTGCATGTAGCGGGTCAGCCGTTTCGTCTCGCGTTTTGCTGTACTTCGTTCGTACTGTCAGCAATTGTGCGGTCGCTCGGCCTTGGGGCCGATTGCCTCTTGGGTGAGTTTGCGTGATGGTTCGCGGAATTCTTATATCAACGCCTACCTCGGAGTCTGTATTGTATCACCAGTCGGGCCTCTCGTCCGAGGGCGGATGCAGTATGCACTGTGCTAATTCTTGTGTGCGCTTATTTCTCTCGCTCTCTCGCTCTAGTCGTCGTCGTCGTCCTCCTCCTCCTCCTTCTCCTTTCCTCCTTTCCTTCTTTCCTCCTCCTCCTCCGCTTCGTCAGTTGTGTGTTTATATGAATGGGTGGCAGAGTAATTGCTCAGGCGACGGTTCATGGCATGAATTTGCCTGTTGCAGGTCGGCTTGTGCGGCGTTCCCCGTTTGCCTAGCGTTCTTTTCATCTGCGATGCGGTTGGGGCACTCGTGGGTTTTGTGAGGCAGAGCTTTCATGGGCTCCTGGGAGGTCCAGCGGAGTCCGGGGGTATGCGGACCCAGACGGGACCTCGCTGCTCCCTGGGTGGCTGCGAACTGCGCACATGTCGCCACTTTCCTGAGACCCGGGGAGGTCCAGCGGATGGGGGCCACGCAGACCCAGCCGGGACCTCGCTGCTTCCTGGGTGCCTGCGAGCTGCCCGCAAGTTGCCAATTTCGTGGGCTCCTGGGCGGTCCAGTGGAGTCGGGGGCCACGCGCACCCAGACGGGACCTCGCTGTTCCTGGGGTGTGTGCGAACTGCGCAATTGTCACCACTCTCGTTGGCTCCCGGAAGGTCCAGCGGAGTCGGGGGCCACGCGCCCAGACGGGACCTCGCTGCTGCTTTGGAGGCTGCGAGCTGCGCATCTGTCGCCACTTTCGTGGCGGGGTGGGGTCGGCGTCCCCCCCAACATACTAATACTATGTGTGCGTCTCTCTCCCCCAGGGGCGACGCCCGCACCGAGAAATCTTGCGTCGTGGCGGGCGCTTTCTGGCCACACCGCTCGGGAAGCGATATACTACAAGATGGGTGTAATACATGTTCGGGTCGGGCGCACGCCTCCAAGGAGGACCTGTAGTACTAGTATGTCTCTGTGCGTCCCACGGGGGCCCACGCGGATCCAGCCGGGACCTCTTTGCTCCCTGGGCGGCTGCGAACTGCGCAATCATCGCCATTTCGTGAGCTCCTGGGAGGGCCAGCGGAGTCGGGTGCATGCAAACCCAGGGGAGACGTCGCGGCTCCCAGTGAGGCTGTCACCTTCACGACTGTCGGTATCTTCGTGGGCAAAGTGCTGCGTATCCCTCGACCTGTTCTTCTGTGGAGAGGTCTCCTTTTGATAGTCGCCGCACTTGGAGAAAGGTTTGGGTACGTATCGGGTAGTATTATATATGTGTGTATTGTGTATGCATGTATATATACATATATGTACTGTAGTGGGCATATATATATATATATATATATACACGTGTACAGTCGGCTGGCCTTAATGGGGCTTTGATACTCGTAGAAGCAAGGAGCCAAGAGGTTCGAGGGCTAGCGAAGCCAACGGAGGAGGAGAAGGAGGAGGAGGAGGAGAAGGAGGAGGAGGAGGAGGAGGAGGTGCGTGATGAGGAGAAGGCGGATCAAACCGAGGAGAAGGAGGAGGGGGCGGAGGGGGAGGGGGATGAGGAGGATGAGGAGATGGAGCTTGCGTCCTCCTACCTCCGTCGCCCTTCTGCCAGGGGTCCCCGGAGGTGAGGTCTTCGAGGGTCCCCAGAGGGCCTCCAGAGGCCTCCAGAGATGCCCAGCAGGGGGTCCAAAAGCGTTCAGGTGCTCGATCTGTGCCCTTCGATCAAGAAACGCTGAAAGCCTCGCAACCCCTGATCCTCCTCCTCCTCCTCCTCCTCCTCCTCGATCCTCGATTCCTGAGCCTCAATCCCTGAGCCTCGATCCTCGTTCCTCGATCCCTTCTCCTCCTCGATCCTCGCTCCTCGATCCCTGATCCCTGAAGCCCTCCCCCGTCCCTGCCTGACATCCTCCGCCCGGAGGCCGCCGCCCTGCCGGACTCCAGGCGCGGGAGCATGGCGAGGCCGAGGGCCAGCATGCTCCGGGCCGACTCGC